ATATGAAGAAAAACATAATAGATGATGAATTTTTCTTTTTTTCTATTTACCAGCTGATAATGATTCACATTCGATGAATGAGTAGACTAGATGTATACACACACACAGCGGGAAGAAGAAGCATTATCGCATACAGCTAACATTGCGTCCTCTAGCGTAGTTCTTTGGATGTAAGTAAAACACATGCTGTTTCAACCAATGTTTTTCTTCACCAGTAATGCACGAATCATCTGATGACTAGTGAGTAAGCAAACGAGGACGGCGAACATATTTCAAAGTTCTTTATCTACATTGTTGATAATGAATAATGAAACGAGTATAAAAAACTTCATTTCGTTTAGTTTTTGTTTTTATTTTGAAAATATGGAGGCACATAATGCACATTGTTTCTTTTCTTCTAGATTGTTTCTTTTTTCGTTTGTTAATTTGATAACTTTACGATAATGGCATTGCGAAAAAAAGTTCTACTCAAAGTTATTATTCTGGGTGATAGCGGTGTCGGCAAAACATCCCTTATGAACCAATTCGTTAACCGAAAAGTAAAACTTCGCTTTTATTCATCGTATTTTTCTACATGTGATTTATTTTCAGTTTTCAAACCAATACAAAGCAACCATAGGTGCCGATTTCCTAACTAAAGAATTACAAATCGATGATCGACTTGTCACTATGCAGGTATGAAGAGAACTTCTAGTTCGATTTGTTTATTTGTTTGTTTTGATAGATTTGGGACACAGCTGGTCAAGAACGTTTTCAAAGTTTAGGTGTTGCATTTTATCGTGGTGCTGATTGTTGTGTTCTTGTCATGGATGTCACTTCGCCGTCGTCGTTCAAATCATTAGAAAGCTGGAAAGATGAATTTCTTATTCAAGCAGGACCGCGCGACCCAGAAAACTTCCCTTTTATTGTAAGAAATGTCCAGAGAATATGACAATGCACATTCTTTTCATTCTCATCTATTTAGGTTCTTGGGAACAAAGCCGATTTAGAAAATCGAGCCGTAAGATATCAGGCGATCATTTTCTTGATGTTTGTCATGAGTTTTCTTTTAGATTCAAGCACGTAAAGCTCAAAGTTGGTGTCAAGGTATGCTGATAGTGATCAGTGATGCTTTTTGAGATAAACATTCATTAAATTTTTAGAAAAAAACAATATTCCGTACTTCGAAACATCAGCTAAAGAAGGTCTTAATGTTGAAAAAGCCTTTGAAACCGTGGCTCGTAATGCCCTAGCTCGCGAAAAAGAAACTGATCAACAAGCTGATTTTCCCATTCCAATACGCATTCCACAACAAGAAGAACCACAGAAAAAGAACGGGTGTCAATGTTAACATATTTAATCTTCTGCTTTTCAATCATTTTCGTTTTCTGCTGTATATAAATACAATACAAATCAAGCTACCTCGGTATTTCTTCTAATCAACCAAACAAACATCAACTTATCTTCTTCTTACCACGTTGATTTTCTTGTCTATTATATTTTACTTTCATGAGCATGTCGGTTGCGTTCTTTTCATGTCTAACGACTCTTTTGAAATAAACAGCCTCGATTAGTCTTTACCAAAGTTCAACTTATCATGGAACTCTTCAGCATAAAACAACATTTGTTTCGTCTTCTATCAAGGTCAAAGATCAACTGTCGTCATTAGATAAGGAAATCCTTTTGCGAGAAATGATAACGCGTCATTGATGACTATGAACTACGATGAAATCTTTTAGAACGTTTTCTATTTTGTCAATACAATGCAGTTGACTTTGTCCTTGGTGTATATTGTAAACATTAAGGATAAACGATTAACATTGATGTGTTTAAAAGAAAAAAAGTTGTCATGAAGCTGTTTTTGCGTGGATAAGATTTGTCAACAGGATTGTATTTTAATTAATTCTTTTTTTAAACTTGTCAAAATTCAGAAGAAAGCATCTGTCTATTCATAGAACATTGACGAACTATATTTACCATCCACTGGATCTCCCTTTATTACATAAGCACATGTAATATTTTTTTAAAAAAGACCAAACATGTGTTTGAATGCAAACATTACAATGGATCCCAATTGGTATCCAATGATAAGACTGTGTTTGGATGTTGTTTTCGTAAAACTTGTGCTAGACGACACACATTCGATGAAAATGTACATACGACATATTTCACACGTGATAAAATCTCTAATTCACTGAGGAGAATATGTGTCAATTCGATCTGTACATGTTGTGGTAATCTATCGAAAGATCCTTGCTCATGGCCATGCAATTGAACTGTTTTGGGAAATAATCGGACGAAGTTCCACTCGGGCTTCAATTGTCGAAGTTCATGAATAGTATTTGCATCGTCACTCGCAACAAATACTCGATTTTTCCACTCTAATATCACAGAAAATCTTTTTCTATTTTGATAACATGAAATACTAGAATAAAGCATACGTTTTTCTGGATCTTTCTTGATGAGTTCTTTCATTGCATCAATGTATTTTCTTGTTTTGATGGAATTTGTTTCTGTGACTTTGTCGCCGCGTCGGATATGCATTGCATAATGTATATCATCACTGTGAATATCGTTTAGATAACTTTCCACAGTGTCTCTTGTTTTCGCGTTTAAAGTTCTCCACAAATAAGCAGCAACTTTTCTTTTCATTTCCAATATATCTTCGCCTTTCTCCCAAGACTCCATAATTGGATATAATGCTTGAAATCCGATACTTGTATCGCGAGTAATGACAAAATGTTCCGGAAGAGATTCTGTATGACTTGCTGGTTGATAGGAGAGAAGATGAACGAATTGTCGTTGCCAACAGTATGAAGATGACGGCAACCAGGGTGAAAAATATCCTTGAGATATGTTGAAATAAGTTGAAAAGGTCTGATAATTCCACGAATTACCATCGATCAGCAGTCGACGACGAGTTTTGATGGTATAAATGAATATACGAAGAAGATTGTTTAGTTCGGAGGCAAAACCAGCGCTCCAATGCAGACGGAATAGTAATGTTTGATTGTGAATCTGTTGGCAAGCATGAATATTCTCCAGTGAACAATGTTCACTGTTGAATGCATCGTCGATGTTTGGATTTTCTACATATCCAGGAGGAGCTTCTCGAGCAAAACAATAAGCACCGGATATAGTCGAATAGTATATCGTCGGATCATGTTTGATGATGGAAAAATCAAAGTACGGTTGAAAGGAGAATGTGACAAAAGTGCATATGACGATAGCAAAGACACTACAACTACAAAATAAAAGATATTGTGAAGAAAATCAGCCATTTTGGAATAAGATGTGCTGCTTAACACTTCGAAAGGAAAGGAAAGTTCACTTTCTTACACAATGTACAGACGCTTACACCTCGCTGTTGATACCATGATAGTCTTAGCAGCGACGTTTGTCTGTGGAAATATCTAAAACAAAAGTAGACACGTATGTTAACTCTTACAATTTTTCAATTGAAGTTATTCTTTGGCTGAAACAGTACTTATGTGGATATAGCGACGACAGACGTACAGCGATTATTTTCGTTCGTTTCGAATTTTTCTTCGCTTGATAAACACGTGTTTTCCATCGTTCGCCCTTCGAACATGTATAGTAAAGGAAGAAAACTAAGAGAAAGACGTTCATCTATTTAGTGATATCGAAGTTTTATTATGTATCTTTACATATGAAATAGTAAGCACAGCAACACGAAAAAATATGATAAAGTAAATGTATATACTGTTATGTATTGTTTGTTCAGTTATAAGATTGAATTGAAATTGATATTGCTAGATGCCGATGACGACGATGAATTGGATGAGATGATTTGTTCGTCCAAGTGCGTCTTTTTGTGTAATTTCAAGTGAACAAGTTGTGTAAAGCGTGCTGAACATGAATGATTCGGACAGAGATATGGTTTGTCTCCTGTATGTAAACGTAGATGAGTCTTCAGATTTGATGTTGATGAGAATCTTTTTGGGCAATATGGACACGAGTGTGGGCGTTCACCTTGAAAAAGGAGTGGTTAGGAAGAAAACAAAACTTGGCAATCTGTGTCGGTACCTGAATGAACGAGTGTATGTTTTTGAAGATGGGCGAACTGTGTGAACGATTTCGGACATTGTGTACAAACAAATGGTCGTTCGTTTGTATGCGTTCTCAGATGAACTTTCAGATTTGATAATTGACTGAAGGTTTTATGACATTGAACACATTCGTAGATGATTTTTCCATTCTCTTTTCGTAGAGGATAAGGTAGAGATTTGTGTCCACGACCATGCACAACAGTTGTGCTAACTGTTGTTGTTGTCGTCGTCATCGTGGTTGATGATGATGACGATGATGATACTGTTATGGATGGTTTTGATGTTGATTTTTCGCCTAGAATTCTTTCGATGGAGAAATTCAATTGTGTTGTATTTGACGATTTCGTCGACGATTTGTCAGACACTAAATAAATTAGGGTAAAATAAGAAGAACCAGTTGAACTAATGATTACTAAAAGGTTGTAAAGACTTCTTTGGTTGATGAAGAGTGGGATTCGATGTTGAATGATTTCGCTCATTCGAAGATTTCAATGAATTACTTGTTGAAGTTGCTTGACGAGTATAAGGGAAAAGAAATGGTAACTAAAATTGAGGAAAAAAAACGTTTCTTTTATCTCAAAGAATTTGAAGAGGCGTACGCGTATATCCCGATGTGTTGAAAACTGTTGAAATGGCCAATAGATGCTCGATTGCTAAAGAAAAATCCGATGAAATACACACAATAATTCTTATATTTTCCTCTACTTTTTGTTCGTAGTATCGGCCAGTTGTTTGTGGGGTTGCCATTCGATGAAAGATTTCGTGTGTAGGAAACACCGAAGTCTCATGCGATTTCATTGAAGGGATATGACAATACGGATACTGTTTATTGTGAATCATATCTAGGAAAGAGTTCTTTCTTCGTTGTGACAACTCTTTGCGTTCAACTTACTCTTTTTTGTCTCACTTTTCATCATGATTAGAAGCTGTGGAGAAGCATTGTAGCTGGAATTACTTGCAAGAAAAGAAAGTTAATTATTTGTATAAAGAAAAAGAGACGAAAGAGAAAAAAAAACGGCGTTTTCATCCAATCAAGTTTCTCTCCGAGAATATCCTTTTTCTCTACGTGAATAAACCAATGAGAATCGAAGCAATCAATCGTTCGATGAAAGATATATCAACTGTTGACTGGTTTACTCTATTTTTCAAATAAACATACGCGAACGAGAGCGATCATTGATTGATGGAGTTCAAGTAATTGTTCGCTATTTGGATTACAAAAGCATATAATCGAAACGAAAGATTGTAGTTTTTCTTGATCACATACAAGTTTAATCGATTTAAATCGATACTGTAAGAACAACATAGGACATTTTATGAATGAGCAATCTGTTCGAATAAAAACAAAACGACGTGAAGTATATTGGGTATGTTCTTTTGGGCCTAGTCGGGCGAACTTGAAATTGGTAATCGTTAGTGTCGTTTTTCTGTTTTGATGAGAAAAAAAAATGAAGAAGAGATCTGAGAAAATTTAATTTGTGGGTAAAGCAAGGGGAGAACTGTCATCTGATTGAATAGCTTCATTGTATTTGTATTGGTCTCTTGTTAATTCAAGCTGAAATTGAATTCGTTTGTCCTCGCGTCATAAGTTAATCAGTGTCAAATGGTGTAATCATCGACTTTCTTCTTTAATTCACTCAGTGAAATATGAGAACAAAAAACTGAAGCAAATCGTTTGAACAGAAAATAGGGTGGAGTCATGTCGCCGTCTTTTCAGCTGATAAGAAGAACGTACTTAATGCTGTCAACAGACATTTTAACTTCTGTTATTGATAAGAAATCAGTCTTTGTCTTCGAGTCACCCTGTTGAGCAGTTATTCCCCCTCTCTCTCGCTCCTTCTTCTAATCATCACGATAATTAAAGAGATTCGAAATCACCTTTATCAATGAACAAAAGGTATAAAGATAATGAATGGACTAGAAAAGGCAAATTCGTTTTGACATGCGAAATATCCCCAATCAATTTACTAGAAACGAAAAAAAAAAGAAAATACTAGCAAACAAAATAAATAATTATGTATATATACAAATGCGGATTTTTTTCCATCAATCAGAAAAGACGTGTTGAAAGATGCAATAGAAAGATATCATTAGATGTCTATTTTCTTTTTTCTCAGACTCGGACGGACGTTGTTGGTGGAACTGTCGCATAGTAATGCGAGTTTTCTCGACATTGACGTTCATGATGAAGTAATTGTGTTCGATCACCGATAATTTTCTTTTGACAAACTGAACAATGGGAGAGATCATCATAGAACGGATCATTTTGAAATGCCGGCTGCATAAAGTCGAAATTCTGTTGCTCGTAAGTGTCAATTAATTCATTAAGAAACCAATCATTCGGCATGGTGGAATGAATAACAGGAATATTTGTTGAGAAGCGTTTTGATGACGTTCGCTTCGATTGATGTTGTTTCGAACGACCTTTAGATATTGGACGGAAGAGACGATCATTATTGAGATAAATTGGTGATGATGTATGGCCACGGCGATGATTCTGAGGATCGTTATTCATTGTGTTGAATATTTGAGTATAAAGATTACGATAACTTGGACTGTTCATCATTTTGGTTGTGAAATCTGCATCTTGAAAGTATTGAATATCATTGATAATTTCGAATGGATCAACGGGTGCTGCCGTAAATTGATCGAATGTATGAAGATTGAATTGATCTAAAGTGAAATAAAGCAAGGTTTTTTCTTCTCTCTCCTCTAACATTCGATTGATTTTTACCTGCTGACGCTGGATGAGCAGCATATTGGAAACTCGATGTGCCATCAAACCAAGGATTTTGTTGTTGGTCATATTCTCGTCGTTGTTTGTCATCAATCAGAACATCATATGCTTGTTTGATCTTTTTGAATTTCTCTTCTGCCTCTTTCGCTTTATTTCGATCAGGATGCCAGACGAGTGCTAAACGTTTATAAGCTGCACGAATGTCCGCTGATGTTGCATGTCGATGAACGCCTAGTTCTTTATAATAATCTGCAACCGTCGAATGAGAAACCATGATTCAATTTGTGCTAGACACTCGTTTCGTCTTCCCCTTTTCTAATACTGAAATAAGAATGACAACTAAGAAAAATATGGTATATTATGTCCTTCTAGTCAGCAATCTAATGAGTAGGGCAAACAGTAATATAGTATGTTCTTGCCTACTGGTGAACATGAATATATATACACACACACATGTACATATGTAGATGTATATATATAAACGTATACCTATCGATGTGTTTGATGAAAAGATTGATAATAATAAAAGGGAAGAAAACGAAGCATGAAGGTAACGAAATGAGTGTGTCAAAGTCCTTCGTGATCATTTTTTCTTCATGCAAAAACATGTTGGTCATGCTTGACCTGTTGTTGATCATGATAATTGCGAAGATATGATACAATTTGTACGCTAGTATTGCTATTTAAACACTCATGAACGTACTAGTGACGGTTAATTGCGTCCTACATACGAGGAAAATGCTTTCAATAGACGAAAAATAGAAAAACTTCATTGCTTTTCATGTTACGACATCGTCAAACGAACTCGGTGGAAAAATAGATTTCGTTAATTAATTCTCCTACTCCAATTACGATTTGAACAACGATGATTTATTCCGACAATTATCATTAACAGAATACTTAATGATTAATTTCTATTGATATGTCCTTTCTATTTGAAAAAAAAGGACCTTATAATTAAACATTAATTTTTGATCGACTTGAAAGTTAATATAAAATGTCATAGATTCAAGCTAATTGTTCCCAGCAAGGGGAAGAACGTTGTCTCTTTCCTAATCCGAACTCCTCTCTTTCTGAACTTTACACTTTTTACCTGAATTTCTCAAGACCATGAAGAATCAAATCAGATCCGTGTCTAGACAAGAATTATCTGATGATGTCGTACATATATACCTACTCTCATAAAATGCATTCGATTAGATGTCACTACTATGAAGAAAATTCGACGAATTGCATTCGATAGTGTTGAAAGAAAGAAAAGAATATGCCTTTGTTCTGTTCATATTCAAAATCGCATTGTCATTTCTGTGTTGCCAATCGATCATCAATTCATTCGAAGAAGACACATTGATTCAACATGCAAAACACTGTACGAGACTATCAAAATGATAAAAGTAACCATGTCGAATGTTATCTTGTTCATTAATTAATCATATTTTTTTCTCCTCGTGTGTATTCAGATAAAATAAAAGATTTTCTCAATGAGTTCGAAGTTGACACCGCGGATGGTTATAAAGCATCGAAGTATGTCAAACAACTGGTAAGGAGATTCTCATTTGATTGACTTTCTTTTTCTGAATCAGATTTGAATTCTTTAGAGAAATTTAGCTAATCGTGAACAAACAACATTGATTATCGATATCGACGACGTTGCTACCGTAGATCCGGAGTTGGCTGATGCCATTCTGGAGAATACTCGTCGATATACGCAGATCTTCGCTCAGATTGTGCAAGAAATGTTACCTGAACTCAAGGACAAAGAAGTAAGTTTTAGTTTTCTCTTTGAATGAAGTGTTTCTTTCACGGAAATTCTTTAGATTGAAAATAAAGATGTACTCGACGTTTATATCGAACATCGAACACTGATGGAACAGCGTTTGCATCACAACAACGACGAAACACGCGATCCAATGAATCGTTATCCTGAGGAATTGATGCGCCGATTGTAAGTAGTCAAACTTCTAGTTCTTCGACAAGTGAACTTCTTTTCATCTTTCAGCGAATTGTATTTCAAACCACCGTCAACACAAAAGCCTCTGTCCGTTCGTCAAGTCAAAGCAAATCAAATTGGTAAATTGATATCGGTTAAAGGCGTTGTCACACGCGCCACTGAGGTTAAACCAATGATCAGTGTTGCAACATATACATGCGATATATGTGGTTCGGAAACTTACCAACCGGTACGGACTTACCTTCGATGAAAATATCATGAATATTGTTTTTATTTTCATGAGATAGATCACTGCTCCGACATTCATGCCGCTGGTCATGTGTCCAAGTCAAGATTGCGTTACGAATAAATCTGGTGGACGATTATCATTACAAACGAGAGGCTCAAAGTTTATTAAATTTCAAGAAATTAAAATCCAAGAACATGTAAGTTTCGTTAACTTTCATTTGAAATCAGTTAATTTGCTCGTTTCTAGACTGATCAAGTTCCGATCGGTAACATTCCACGCTCAATGACAATCTGGTGCCGAGGAATGAACACACGTGTGTGTCAACCAGGTGATCATATTTCCGTCGGTGGTATATTTTTACCACTGCTTCGAACTGGCTTCCGTCAAATGACTCAGGGTCTTCTATCTGATACATTTCTCGAAGCACATGTAAGTGAATTCGAGTCGCAGAAGAATAACATGACGATATGTGTTTGTTTTTCTTTCAGAGAATTGTTTTGTTGAATAAAAGTGAAGATGAAGAGATTGAAGATCGAGAAATGAGTGAAGCAGAAATGACGGATATATTTGCTGGTAGGACTTTCTATTTGAAATATTGTTCCTTATAAATATTCTATTCTTTCTAATTTAGAAAAAGATTTGTACGATCGATTAGCTATGAGTATTGCACCGGAAATCTACGGGCATGAAGATATAAAAAAAGCATTATTACTTTTACTGGTTGGTGGTATTGATAAGTCTCCACAAGGAATGAAGATTCGCGGTATGTGAAATATTCAAGTGGAATCGAATAAACATCGTTATACTTGTAGGAAATATCAATGTGTGTCTTATGGGTGATCCTGGTGTCGCTAAATCTCAATTGTTGAGTTATGTTAATCGTTTAGCACAACGGAGTCAATATACAACTGGTCGTGGTTCATCGGGTGTTGGTTTGACATCTGCACTAATCAAAGATCCTGTAACAAGTAAATAAAAGCATTTCGATTCTATGTATATCCTCATTTCTTGTTTCGTCTAGATGAACTTGTGCTTGAAGGCGGTGCTTTAGTGCTAGCTGATCAAGGTATTTGCTGTATTGATGAATTCGATAAAATGACAGAACATGATCGAACGGCAATTTATGAAGTTATGGAACAACAAACGATCTCGATCGCTAAAGTAAACATATTTCTTTGAAATCGAATGCAAGTTCCTTATCCGATATTTTTAAGGCTGGTATTTTAACTTCACTCAATGCTCGTACATCGATTTTAGCGGCGGCAAATCCTGCATTCGGTCGATACAATCCTAAACGCTCAATTGAAGCTAATATTCAATTACCTGCTGCATTACTTTCACGTTTCGATTTACTTTGGATTATCCAAGATAAAAACGATCGGGAAGTCGATCTTAAATTAGCCCGGCATATCGCCTCCGTTCATCAAACAGGTTGTCAACCCGAACTCGAAAATAATCATCAATTTATCGATATGAAAACACTCCGGTAACATTTGATCTGTTTTCTTCTTTCTCGAATTCCTAATCAATGTTTACTCTAGACGTTACATCGCAACATGCAAGAAACGACAACCATTGGTACCTGAAAATTTACTTAATTATGTTGTTACAGCTTATGTTGAATTACGTAAGCAAGCTCGTGTTTGCAAAGATATGACATATACATCTGCTCGAATGCTTCTCTCGATTTTACGTTTATCAACTGCATTAGCTCGCCTGCGTTGTGGTGATCTTGTTTCAAAGGATGATATCGACGAAGCACTTCGGTTAATGGAATCCTCACGATTGCTTTTGAAACCTCATGAAAATGTTCCAACACGGTATGAAGACATTTTCATTTATTATATAGTGTGTTATTTACACATTGATGTTTTTTTTTTCAGACAAATCAATCCAATTGATCAAGTGTTTGCTATTGTTCGAGATATGGTACCATCGTCGAGTTCGAAAATTGTTCGTTATGCCGAAGCGAAAGAACGCTGTATTGCTAAAGGTCTCAAACCGGATATATTTGATGATGCGCTCGAACGTTATGAGGAAATGGGCTTATGGCACGTCAATCAACAACGTACAACAATCACTATTGTTTAAATCACGATATATTTTCGTCTTCCTGTATAGAATTATTGTTTTGTTTTTTGAAAAAACGAAAGTTTCTGTCAGATATTTTTCTGTCTATGTAGAAGAGAAAACGAATATTTTTTTTGTATGAAAATAATTAGATACACAGATATATTTCGATAATAAAATAAAGTCACATTTGGTATTCTTTGAAGATTTATATTCTTAATTTGGAATGGCGGATCGTTTGGCCTGGACAGATGGACAATTGCATATGGGTGAAACGATCATAACAACACAAACTGGAGTTTCAATCTATGATGGATCGGATAAAGTGAGAAGGAACCGATTTTCCACTCTTTATTCTTCATCTCTGTGTAGACGGATTATCAAAAAGGATTCATTACATTGACTACTAATCGAATCATATGGAAGGATAATTCAGCACAGGTGAAGGATCGAATTTAAATACAGATTCGTTTGTGAGGAGTTTCTTTTCAGATGGAATTACCACTTTCAGTGATTATATTCAGTGAAAAGAAAGATGCGTCATTTACTTCAAAGTAAAAATCGGTTCAAACGATTTGTTGATCGAAGTTCTCCGTTTAGAGCTCGCCTTATCTGCGCAGTGTCGCGAGGTCAAGAATCGAAACGACCAGGCCCATTTGCAAGTAGTCGTCATGATGAAATACAGTTTGAATTTCGCGACGGTGGCTGTAACGATGTAATCTAATCGAAAGAATTTCATATCGATCATTCGAAACCGTCATCCTTTTAGTTTTTACGGTTAATTCAAGAAGAACTAGTTAAAAAACGTTGGTTATTACAAGCAATAAAACCAACAGCAGCAACAACTACTACCGTAAGTTCAATAACAATGATTAGTAAAAGGTTACAAATGATTTCTTTCGTGTTCAGAGTGATCGCACACATCGAGCAGGTATATCGGGTATTGAAAGTCATATACAACATCAATTGAATACTCAACAACAGTCGATTAGTAGTGCTTTTCAAGATTTGAATAAACTTATGCAGCAGGTTTGTTTTAATATCGACTAAATGCTAAATATTCAGTTTGTTTTGATTAGGCGAAAGAGATGGTCACCATATCGAAAACAATTACCAACAAAATTCAAGAAAAGCGAAGTGATCTAACTAGTGATGAAGTAAATCCGTCGTTTCCGCCTGAACTTCTCATCGAACTTTTCTTTCTTCTTAGACGATACGTTTTCGATCGTATCTACTCAGTCTCGGTATTGACAATCCAGTGACAAAAGAATCCGCTGGCAGTCAATATCATGTATCTTTAGCAAGAGAATTAGCATCTGTTTTAGAAAAAGCATTAAAAGTAAGAAAGAACCACAAGGAAGTGTTTTCATCAGAAGTCAATGATCTCGTCTAGGATACCAATGGTATAATGACATTGAGTGATGCATTTTGTCGAATTAATCGAGCTCGGGGCTATGAAGTATGATTGTTCCTTTGAGTTTTTTTCGAATGCATTACTTTTCATTTTTCAGTTGATTTCACCAGACGATTTACTCAATGCAGCTGTCCATATGGAAGAATTAGACTTACCTGTTCGGTAATCATTCTTATCTCAAACAAGGAAGAAAGTTTACTTTCTTAAATTTAGATTACGTGTTCTAAGTTCGGGTATAAAAAGTTTCGAATTAACAAATCGAAATGAGAAGAAAGATTTACAGGAAATTACGGAACTTGTATGTTTTATCTCTGCTATACAGGAAAAAGTCTTTACTATTCTCTAGGTGAAAACAATGAAATCAATGAGTGCTGATCAACTAGCTAATACTCTAGGCATTCCGGTGATTGTTGCTCGTGAAAGGTAAGTAAGAAGGTAAAAGCGGAAGAGATTATCTGCATTACAATCATTTAGATTAACTACTGCGGAAGCTAATGGATCACTTTGTCGTGATGATTCTATTGAAGGACTTCGATTTTATCCGAACCTTTTTTGATTATTCTTTTATTTATTTAATATAAATAATTCTTCTATAAAATTCGAATCTCCGACACTCTTTCCAGTTATAAAACGAAAATCTAAAATTGACCTGTTCCACGCAAACAACGTCAGAATCCATCGAGTGTTAATGATATGAATAATGTCATTTTATTTATTTATCTTGCCTTCTATTCTCGAGAAAATAATTGAATTTTATATGTCGTCAATTTTCCGCTCCGAAAAACCGGCGAGATGTTAAAAATAACTTTTGTACCGATATCATCTTTCAATATTCCTCTTTCTCTGGCTAATTAGATTAGCTTTATCTCATATAAAATACAAATCCTATCGATTGACATTGTTTATTTACATTGCAGAAGAAATCTGTCCATAGGTTAAGCTGTTTTCCATTATTAACTTCTACACGTCCTTGTCAATCAACAATCAAGTATCCGTACAGGACAATTTTTTTCTTCTGTACTTGAAAAGGAAACGACTAAACAAATGATGAATGAATGTATGTGTATATTTAATTATTGAAGAACAAAAAAGTATTGACATTCGAAATTTTTATATATATATACATGTACAATTGTCTTCAACGAACAAAAATTTCACTGTTGTCAACGACAAAAACCGTACACAAATGAGCAGAAGACAATGACAGAAAAAGGGAAAAACAAGAATTGTGAACATATACACACCCTCATATATATATTTGAAAGCTGGACGTTGGTTCGATGTTGCTATTGGTGGTGATGATGACAATTCTTCTTTTTTTGATCTTGAACAATTGCCACTATGGTTGAAGATTGATAAATGTGAATGTATGCGTTTTCTCTATTCGAATACATGCAAAATTGTTCGGATAAATAAACAAAGGCAGAGAAAAAAGATAAACAGAGAATAGAAGATAATTCATATGTATGAGCTAAAAGTAAGAGGACATGACAAAAATAAAGTATCTTTCTTCGATTCGAGCAGAATAAACAAGGAGATATTTCATCGTCGAATGAGATCATCATCGAATGGATTTGTCCCACGTTTTGGCGTGAAGATTGTGGGCTGCCGATGGTTGATATTTGGAGATTGAGCTTGAGCAGCCATTGAATAACCGTAGGGAGAAAATGGATTGGTGGGGTTATTACTTTGCACAAGAGCATTCAGATTGGAATTGAAAGCATCGGTGATGGTCTGAGGCGGAAGTGATGTGGGTACGGATTCATATGTTTCGGGTACTTGTTCGTTATACAGAGGAGTTTGATTAGTTAGCCAAAGATTGGCCATGAGATTTTCATTGGTATTTGTCATTGTCGATGAAGACGGTTGTGGCAGGGATAATGGAGCAGGTGATAGTGACACGGGTGGTTGTGATGGAATGAATGGAGGTTTCGTTGTGGGCAGTGAAAGATGATGATTTAATTCATGAGTATAACCGTTAGTATTAGTTGAATCGATTAGAGATAATTTATTAAGCTCAGTTGTCGTTTGGACAGGCTCGGTTTCTTCTTCAATAACTAAACGAACGATATGATTTGAAAACGAAAACAAAAACGTATTTTAAAATACTTGTGCTGGGTCCTAGGATTTCTTTGTTTCTCGCTTCTTGTATCGATGGTAAATCACTGGGTCTTAATGAACTTTGTCGTTTAAAAGCACCTAAAGATGCTTGATTCAGATCGCCTAGTCGAAGTGATGCACTTCGCATAAAAGCATCTGAATCATTTCCTTTCGGTCGTGGCCGTTCCATGGCACCATTTTTTTGCAGCGAATTCGTTGAATTCGACGTTATATTTGAGTTCAATGGAATAGGTTCTAAAAATACATAACATATCATAACATAACATTAATAATTCAACCGCATTTTATATGAATCTCCTACCGGCAATGATAGCACTTTGAGGATCAATTAGACGTTCTGTGATAGACGTTGTACGAAAAGAACCAAAACGTGTAAAAGATGTACCATTTTGTGAGTATTCAACTGTCACACTACATTCACGATCGCGTTTCTGTTTTCGTTCAAGACAAATTTGAAATGCACAGCCAACAGCATGACTTAAACGTTCACCCTAAATTGCCGACACACACATACATAAGAAATCTCAATCATTTATCGCATACTGAATCTTTAACTGCTAGAAAACCATGGCAGAGCCATCGTCGGGTCGTACCATCTCGGCAAATATATGCAAAACCCTTTTCGTGATGACGATCAGGAGCGCAAAAAGACACTTTTTCAATAGTTTGATCAACAATAAGACCCTTGAAGAAAAATAAACACATACACATATATCAATCCAGTAATTAATAAAAATGTACTCCATTATACCTTATTAGTTTCATCCACAACTCGAAGTGCATCACCAGATATATGTAAAACAGCTTTTGTATGTTTACCCTTTTGCTGAAAAACAATACAGAAATCAATTATCATCTCCACAGAACGGAATCTAGTTTACGTTCAATAGAGCTTGAATAGCTTGTTCACAAACATGCATTCCACGTGATTCCTGTACTTCAACACTTCCAAGATACTAAATATCATTAAAATTTAAATAAATATCGGACTGATACTGAATTTCCGTTTACCTTAACATTAAAAGTACAAGTACCGCCACGTACAGATTTTTCATCATCTTGCCATTGTGGTGGTTTGTTCTCTGTTGTTGCACTATTCGTCGTTGCTGGTATATTATTGGTAATTTTGGTTGAATTTTCAGTATTATTATTATTATTATTGTTGTTGTTTCGAGTGTCACTCGATGTATTTCCTTTTTTCTTACTGCGAAAGCTCAATGTTCGTCTTAATCGATCCATCTGTCGATGTTTTTTTCTGCGAACTGTTTCAGTATTGGGTGGTTGTGGCAACGCTTTTGGTTGATCGTCTAGAACGATTTTTATCAAGAATAAATGAATTCTTTCTTAACAAATACAATAAAAGATCATGCAAGCAGAAGCAACATGCAAATTTACAAAAATTTAATCAATATCCATCGATAATATGCTTATTCTTAACAGACAAAGAAAGAAAAACGAAGATTGATTCTCAAGCATGCAAAAGAAAACCTCCGTAGCTCGTTAAGTGTTAATAGAAGCATGGAATGATCCATAGATTAGTTTGAATGTTGCGTTGGTGAGCTTTACCTGTGACTATCGAGGTCGTACCATTGCTTGTTGGTACAGCTGATGCTTGTTGACGATTCTTACGAGCGTGTGAACGGCGCGAATGCTCAGCACCCATATTTCCTCGACTTTTACTCTATAGAATTCTAGTTAAGGTGATCAGGGAATTTCGAAGGGTATATACAAACTAATATCAATCAAAACACAAAAACAACAAATCATACGAACAACACAACCGATAAAGATCGTCACATACCAAATCAGTTGATGATAAACTTGTTTAGATTTAGTGATATTGAATCATCTAGAAACATTCTGGAATGTGTTATCGGATCGATGATGTCTGAAAACGAGAAACGAACAAGAAGAAAAAAAAATCTGCAGAGCCTAATCTCATTGATGAGAGGTAAAACTTCGAAATGTCACGACTAGAATAGACTGATTCATCCTATTTCAAATCAACAGTACCATATTGATGACCTTCTTCAATAAAACGAAACGTGAAGGAACGTCACCCTTGATACGTATGTTGTTTTTTTCATTTCGTTTTTGAAAGGCTTAACATTTCTTTCTCTCTACTGTCATTTAATTCCTGAAAGAAAACATTACTAATCATGACTAATTATGATGTACCAATGCGAAATCTAGTTGAATTAACATAGTATAACAAAAATCGTACGATCTGAAAGATTCTTTTTTTACACGAGCAGAAACAAATAAATGATAAAGAATAAACAGGACAAGATAACGGATATAGTTCGCGGTACGTTCGAATGATTTTTTCAAGCGAACGTGGCGCCTCGATAATTGAACTTCTTCATTGGATGGATGAAGATACGAATCGAAGAAATCGATCTATTTATTATTTTGTTTTATTTTCTCAAAATTTCTGCAGTAGAAATGACTGACGAAAATGAAATTGATAACGAAGCAAAGACGATCGATTTAAATGGCAAACTCGAGAATTATCCCAGTCCACCATTAAGTAAAAGAAAAACCAAGAAATCTTTTCATTGAATACTCACATGATTCTCTTTGCACGATAGAAATGGTTTTAGAAGTCAGTAATAATTTGCTGATCGAACAACAAATTTGCAATGTTTTACGGAAAAACTTCCTCGAACAACGTTCCATCCCGTGGAAACCAATCAAAGTCGAATTGATTGTTAACACTCAATTGACAGATGATTTCTTCGGTAAATATGTTCTTCATTATCTTCAATTTTACTATCCTATGTATATCTTTCGAAAACATCTAGTCTCTATGGCAAGTATCCTATCGCTGTTCTCTATTTTCTTGTTCATTTGAAATATCAATACTAATGATTCGAATAGGTCGATTCTGCACATATTGTTATTTTTCTGTAGAGATAAAGTTTGCTTTTCTCAGATGTTTATCTACGCAGATATGACTTTATCTTCGAATTAACATTCCATGTTCTGCATGTTTATCGTACCTGTAAACAGATTCATATTAAAAATGTTCGTGTCTCTATTTGACAATACAAGATGCATGATGAAGACAGAGGAGTCGATTCGAAACGATAATTCGCTGTTGATGTTTTGCACGTTCATTACTTATCGAGTGTAAATATTCTCAAATGTTAATATAGAAGTGGAACAATGATTTCTTCAAGTTCTTCTCCGTTCAATTCATAGTTTTACATTCATTTGTCTAAGATTTTATCTTTATTTTAGCAATACGAAAGAAGTTTGAACGAGCATCTGAACGAAATCGATCTGAGTTCGAGGAACATTACGGATTTCTCATTGACAACGATGTTCAAATCCATGATATTTGTACAAATGGTTATCAATGCACCGAAACGTCATACAACGTCCTAGGTAAATCCACTTAAACAAAATTCTTTTGAGAAAAGAAGCAAACAGCAAGATCGCTCGTTTGATGTTCTTCACTGATTATTTAACCTCTTGGGTAAAATCAGATCGATCTTGTTCAAATTAAACGTTGCTCTAAGCTTCTCAACTGTTTTTAACAAACATAACTTATGTGTGATGATTGATGTACGCTTGCTTATCTTCTATCCCTTATCCCTACAGATACACTCTATGTATGTGTGTCATAACTTGGTCAAACTTGCTCATGTATTGACTTGTAAGTATTGATAGCACTATAAATCAATGTAGATCGCTCTATATCTATTATTGTTTTTGTCACTGACCACTTGTTTTACATTTCGCTCTCGATGGTTGTTGAACAAAAAAGCGCAGAGCTCTCTCAGTTATTGGTTTTGTTATTTTATTTCAATTTTCATCTAATCCTTCCTAAAACAACAAACAATATCGAAGCTTTCACTTTGCATTATGATTTTAATGATTGTTATTCAATTCCTACTAATTCTTAGACATAATAACCATCTCGTAGCATTTCATCTTTCTGTTGTTATGTGTTTACACAGCATTTTTTTCCTCTTTCGTTTATATGTCTTCATGTTATTGAAACATTTTCTATATACATAATCACTTACACTTTATCCTATTTGCACAATCTTCACTGATGAAGGGTTGTTTCTCTACTACTAATCTGGCAAAAAAAAAACGTTTTGATTATTACCGTCGTCGCACGTTTTCCGAAACGACTGTTTGTCAAATTTGCTTGCATGTGCTCTCTGTTCTTCATCTTCCTTGCTGTTAATTTGTTGTTTATTTTCATTTGAAATCGGTATATGGGACTTCTTACACATACATACGTACATATACATAGATCAATGCATATACTTGCATGGGGCTTTGGTAGTTCGTTTTATGTTTTTTCTCTCTCTCTCTCTTTTCTTGTAATGGAAGGACAAACAAACATTCTTTATGTGTGTGTGTGTTCGAGTGTTTAAAATGTTCATTTAGGATTGATGAAGATATTCTGATCAAATGGATGAATACAAATGAGAAAACAACAATGTGAGTTGCAAAATGATGACCAATGCTCTGGCTTCTGATCATCTTTCTCCTACTTATTTCTCCTGCCCTTATTATCCATGTCAATCGACGTCGCGCATACACCACTGTTCTCGATGTAATATGTATACATATATCTCGGTTTTTCATGATCATTATCACTTAGCTCATATATATATATATATATCTGTACTTATGAACCACACTTAGCTTATGTCATTTTAGTATTCGTGATTTCTATGTGCTAGTTTTCTTTCGTTTTGTTTGCTGCTCGCATAGATTTGAAGATGGGTTGCGTACGAATGATAAGAACGTATCTTGTCGAAGAAATTCGCACTGAAATTATCGTATGGGCAATTAGCTCTAACTTCTTTCTTTTTCGTCATCTCGGTTTTGATCATAGACAATTCTTTTGCTTTCTTCGTTTTCAAATGATTATCGATTTGAAAGTTTGATATTCTTCATATCTATGTGTTTAGTCATTGGTCTCTTGTGTCTGCATGCTTTTTTTCTTGTATTTGAATGTTAGATGAAGAGATTTTCGTGATGATTTGAACGGAAAATTCTCTGCTATGATGATGATGCGAATTCAAATACAAATATAATGATGCAAAGAAAAACACAACAACGAAAAATTGAAATTTAAACATGCTTATGATGCAATATCTGCATGTTGTTAATTTTCTTTCATTTTGTCATTCCATCTATTCGTCGTTATCTTGTTTTGGGTTTCTTCTTTAATCGTTCATTATTATTCTTTTCATCTATGCGTGTGTTCATAGTTGTTGTCATTTTAATATTCATCGTTCGTATATCTGTGTGTCTATGTTTTAGGACACAGTAAATGTGGTGTATACGTTTGCAAATATGCTGATGTATGCATTCGACATGCTAGTGCGCGACGAACATGGGAAGGAAATGTTGGAATGAAAATGCTTGTGTTTAAAGTTCGATTAGATGAGTTTTGATGCGAGATGAATGAGTGCGATTTTTGTTGATTAGATTGTGGAAGGAAAACAAACGACTGCTCTTGTTCGCAAGGGATCGAAATTACAACCTATAGCACCTACAGCCAATTTTACAAGTCATTGTTCGATCATTGTACCGAAGGAAACGGATGATCTTGAAAAACAATTTGACCAATCTCAGGTAAAAAGAACAAACGTGATTTTAGTGGTTCGAGTGATGTGTTGTTATTTTTAGATATTTTTATATGAATTTGAGGGTCGAGAAACAATCAAACGACCTCATCATTGTTTACCGTACGCTGTTGTTAGTTTAATACAGGATGGTTCGTATCTTCAATTTTTAGAAATAGTCCATGATCTAGATTCATTTCAGGAAGTCAATGGCCAACAAATTTTGATAATCTAGATAATGAACCAAACATTTTGGAAACAGATACTCTACGGGTGATTGCACACGCTGATGATCCCCTGCTGCAAAATAAATTAAACGAGAATGTCGAATTAGCTGAAACAGCAACACTTGCATTAGAACACGTTTATGAAGAAGATCCGCCTATTCAGACGCCACAACCATTGCAGTCATCCTCATTATCAATCGCTGACGGAGAATACGAACAACAGACATCATCACAAGAATCCGGAAATTCACAAATGATCTCAGCAGTGACAATGACATCATCAGATAATACATCCATTCCTACAGTTAATGGTAGAGATGTACCATCTTCGGCATCCCCAAATGGACATTCATCTACACTTTCAAATGACACACAGACAGATACCACCGACAGTTCTTTGAACCTAGCAGTGTCACTTCCACTTCCGCCACCATCTTCAAATGCAACTACAAATCCTACTACAAAAACAGCAACAGCAACATCTGAAGCTACTGTGATACCACTCACTGCACCAACTGCTACTGTTCAAGCTGTTTATCGACAGCAAACAGGTCTCTTAGGAGCACTACCAGGTGCGGCAGCTCTACGTTCGGTCCCAGGTGCTGTCTATGCGACAACAAATGGCTTGTCTAATGGTCTTCCCGGGCAAATAGTGTATAGTGGTATGTAATGGATATCAGTTTGATAACATTGCGTATTCTTCTACTAATAATATTGTCGTTGTTTAAGGTGTTCCAGCAGATGCTTTCCGTGGTTTTCCAACTACAGCAACTGCTTCGGCAACCGGTGCACCATATGTGTTGGCTGCACATGCTGGTCAAGCAATACAACAACCTGCGCTCTACGCTGCTCAATTACAAGCTATTGCTCAGCAGCAACAAGCAGTCCAGCTAGCCGCTGTAGCAGCAGCTCAACAACAGCAACAGCAACAACAACAAAGTTTTATGAATGGCCTACCGGCAGGTTGTATGGTTGTACGTACAGCCAATGGCGGTTATGCTCTAATGGCACAATCTCCAACGGCATCCGCTGCGGCTGTGGCAGCCTTACAAACACAAGCACCTCTTACACAACAGCAGTATATTTCTATAAATGCAGCTGGTCAACCAACGGCGATGGGTGCAACTGGGGCAGCACGAGTTCCTGTTGCCTTGGTCGGCGGGCAGCCGCAATCGGTTTTTTATCAATATGCTGGACAACCAACAATGCAGACAGCTCTATCCCAATATATTCAAATACCAACGAATTATGGCCAACAGCAACAACAAAATCAACTACCAACTACTCCTACTATGCAATGCGTCAATTCGGCAACTTCTCAAGGTTCGTATGATTCCCTTGTAATCTTTTCCAGTGACGATAACTGCTGATCTTTCTTTCAGCTTATACAAACCAATCACCTATACAGTATATAGGTGCACCACAAGCAGCCAATAATAATGTACCTAATTCTTCATCGGCTACAGTGGTATCGCCATCTCCTACACTTCAATCTCAAGCAACACCGACCATTACTTCACCACAAAAGCAAAGTGCGGCATCTGCAACAGCTGCTGCTCTCCAACAACAACAACAGTATCAACATCAATATCCATCCGCCTCATCTCAACAGCAACAACAACAACAACAAGCTATAAATGGTGCTTATGGCGCAGGCGTTTATTACACAACACTAGCACAAGTTCAAGCTCAACAACAACAAGCAGCTCTTCTAGCACAACAACATCAACAGCTTAATCTGATATCTCAAGTATGAAATGAACGACAAACACTAAAGCGTTCTTTATCGTTTGCTCTTTCTCACTAGGTGCCATATGCAACTCAACAAGGAATTTCACAGCAGATGTATTATGCAACACCCGGTGGTCAAGCAATTTACCAGGCAGGTAGTCAAAGTTATGTGATTGCTCAACCAGGCATAACTACAACTGGTGCTCCAGCAATATATTCAGCAGGTCCGGCGTTACATAATGGTGCTACTCAACAGCAATCAGATTCATCGCAACAACAGCAACCAGCGCAACTTGTACAACGTCCAAGTGTTTTATCACAAGTGCGACATCATCCATACAGAAACTAAATAGAAAGTTGTCACTTCTTCTTTCTCTTGTCTATCATTATTTTGTAACAGTAGGATATCAGTGTTTAATCACTATCTAACTCCGAGAATTTCACTTACTCGTGTGTCACATTTTGTTTACTACAATATATTCCTAACACTTGTATATTAAAAAATATATTCAGCTATGATTTCATCTATGTTTTGATTTTGATTGTATAGAAAAAAAAGAAAACGAAGAAAGAAACACTACATGTTCATTAGTATTTCACTACAATTCTCTAGATATTTGAGACACAATGGGTAAGGATGACGACGATCTTGAATATTATAAAGCAAAACAAAAGGCTGGACAATTATCTGTAAGTAAACCAGAAACGAAGACATCATCGAAGCCGGTAGCAACAGCCAAAACTGGTTCATTACAATCCAGTTCAGCTGGGTATATCGCGATGAAAGATTCCAAAGAAAAGGAACGCGAATTTGAACGTTATAAAGAGATCACCTTTGCACAAAAAGCAAGTGACCGAGCAAAGAAAAACCCACTAGTTCCGTAAGAATACTTTCGAATGTTTTCGCACATTGACTCCTGTTTTTATAGGATTGGTTTATTAGCCACAGTGGCAGCATTAACATTAGGTCTTCGTGCCATGTCTCGCGGTGATCGTTGGCAATCGCAAATGATGATGCGGTAAGTACTGATTGAAAATGAATTTACATTTCCTGATTTTGTTTTCTCATTTTAGAGCTCGAATTGGGTATGTTCTGTTAAAAGTAAATCTTTGTACCGAAAGTATTTTTCACAGTAACCTGTCAAAGAATTTAATTTTTCCAGACATTGAGTCTGTTATTTCCTTTGTGAATTGAATTGCTGCTATTTTTGCAAAAATCTTACAATGCATGTCTAGAAGACATTTTTGCCAAAGCTAATTCGATCATTTTTTTAAACTAAATCTCCGCCAATACGTATCCACACATCACTTACGGCACTTTCAGAAACAGAAAAGCCAATGTGTTGTCCGAAGCTAGTGAAATTTAATCAACATGACCAATTAACCTAATTTCTCCCGGGGCAAAAAGGCCTTTTTTCATACTTGATAATTGATTATTTAATTCAGACGTGAGAATCAATTATTGAATACGTAAGAACATTACTTTGCATTCCGCGTACAAAACTATTTCATGATCTCGTCCTGCTTCTTCCCATATCTCCAAAACTAATAATCATTAGACGAGTCGAAGTAAATCTAGAGTCTTGTTACTAGATACAATTACGAAGATAAAATTACAAAGTTTGATTTTCTTTCTTGCTTTTAGTGCTCAAGGTTTTACAATTCTCGCTGTTCTCGCATCTATCATGTATGCTGGCCAAACTCAAGGACCCGTAGACCAACCTTCGCCACCTCGTCGACCTTCTTCTTCTTCTTCTTCTACTTCTTAACATATTCTTCTTTCTTTTTTATCTTCTGTCATATATATTAGATATATTTTTTTGTCCTTTTCTTGAAAGAAAGAAGAAAAAAATTGGTTCACATAGTGTCGGACATTAATCTTGATTGAAAAATAATAGGCATTTTTTACATGATATCGTTATTTTTATCCAATAACGAAAGACAAAACCACACATAGAATGAAAATTTAGAAGTGACGTCAAGAAGATCGCGGTGTTGCACTGATACTGTTTGTATAATAACAAACTAAAAGCTCTGAAGTAAAATACAATTGTACACACACTGGCAATCACATAAATAATAACAACATATAAGGAAAAAATGTTCTACAGACAAATAAGTAAACAAAGGAATAAATAGGATATATGTATATGAAATGATCTAGAATCTGCCTGGTTGAAAACTAAAAATGAGAATACTTTTATGCAAGTGTTTATCACCGGATGATTAAACTGATACAACCGGAAAGAGAAATGTGTTGGACGGATGTGTAGATTGAAGATGTCGTATGTCAAGAGATTTAGATATGTTAACTATGAGAATTTATTGGATGATGGTATTGAACTTTCCATTGATGAGGAAGGTAATGGCCAAACATGATGTAAAGATTGTAATCGACTTTCTATTCGGTAGGCGAGTTTAATTAAATAGAATGAATGGATTACTAAGATGATTACAAACAGTAAAAGTATAAATGAGGTTTTAATCGGATAAATTCTAAATTGTTTCAATAGTAAGAGTAGATACTCAATCAGAAGTCTTATAATAGATATAATTGAGAGAAGAATGATACGAAAATATCTTTGTACGAATCCGTTATTGTCAGAATTGATATTGGATACTTCATCGGTTATCAGCCGGTCGGATAGAGATTCTAATGGAGATAGATTGGCTAATGAACGATGAGATGGAGATAATGTTCGATCACGATTTCGACTGCTTTGGCGACTTCTCAACGATGGATTATCTCCTAGAATTTGTCAAATTGTCATATTATTTTCATTAAAAAACAAAATTGTAAATATATCTGGATTGTGACAGTGTGTCTATTTACTAGGGGCATGTTATTTCGTCATATGTTTCAATATTTTCCATCTACATATTCGTGATAACAACGAGGAAGTGTGTTCATCTATAGATTTGCGCACATTTGTTCCGAAGAAAAACATTCTCTTTCTTTCAGCCGCTAAGAACATTCACTTTACCCTCGGAACTCACATCCGGAGTAAAGTCAGAAGATCGCAATCTGAGTTTTCTTTCATAATCAGTCTATTCAATTTATCTTCGCATAAAAAAGATTAACTACTTGTTTCTAATGTTTCGATATAATCGAATAACGCACGATAGGCGCGAAATCTTTCAACAGAACGAAAGCCTAGTCATACGACGTAAGAAAACTTCAACTGACATTCGATGATCTTACTTGTGAATGTATCAGTTTGTTTCGGTTGATTTTTACTATGCCGTGACATTCTATTTGCATGATCAGCATTAAAATCACTGGATAAATTTGACTCGGCGATTGAATTGGTTTTCTTTTTATCTGAATTGAATAATTTCTTCGTTTGCTGTTGCTTGTCATCGTCCGTCTTTGAAGAGAGCGGTTGTTTTCGTCGTTTCATCAGACTGTTTGTTCGATCTTGTCCTAGACACATCTGGAGAACATTGTCATGTTCTGAGTCATCCGGTGTTTCATAATGATTGCGTTTCGACTTTTTGCTTTTCGTACTAAAATTTTGATTACTATTCTGTGATTTTAGTGTTCCATTTGGGATCAAACGATTGTCATCATCATCAGCGATTGAGCCTGTTTCATTGTTAAAACGCGAACAAATAGAAATGATTTTATCATAGGCTTGATCACGTTGGAGAAATGATGCATAGATGATCTTTTTGCCAGTCGGTTTCAATTGAATTCCAATTGCAGTTGGAAAGATGAATGCAACACGCTCCTTAGTCACATTGTCAATCTGCTCCCATCGATAGACATGTTTTGTTACGTAAGATATGATCCGGGAATGAAAACATAGATAACGATCAGTGATATACATTTTACCTTGCAGTAAAATATCTCCTAGACAACATATCCTAATCCGATTAGATTGAATTGAAGTGCTTTTGTTTTACCTTGATAGGCGCAGACATAGGAATCGATTAATTCCGGCATGTCGTCATCCGCAATTTCCGATTTGAAGAGTTTTTGAAAATGTTTGACGCGTCGAGATAACTGTTCAGATGTATTGCCCTCAGATTTCTGTTGTCCACTATCACGGCGCGCTGCTGCTGCTTCTTGTTGTGCTGGACGTCGAATCTGTTTTGGAAGATTGTTCAATTCTAAGGAATTATTATCATCTGTGTATCGTTCTTCTTGTTCGCTTTCCAATTCACTATCAGTGGTTGTCGACGAGACTGTTGTAAGTGAACTGATTTGTGGTAACGAAGAAGTTTTGTCATTTGAATTGGTAAGTTTAGCACCAGTACTATCAATTGATGATGAAGATGAATGTGCAATAGTTATATTAGTTCCTGGAAGTTTGGCTTGATTCGATGAACGTAATGGTAATGAATCTTTTTTTTGTACAACACTTTTTGATCCATTCGTATTCGTTTCATCTAACGCATTAGATGAAATTATCATTGATGAAGGTTGACTATTGGCCATTTCAACGATATCTAAGGACGAAAAGAAAAGAAATCAATGTCGTTTTGATCATAGAAAGTACTTGTTTTATTTTTCAGTACTTCTATATGATAACGCCCATGCATAAAACCTCCGGTGATCGCATTTAGTATGAAAAAAAAATATATATTCTGAGAGACTGAAGCAGCAATGCAAGATAAATATAGGACGAGAGTGGAAAATTTGATGTTAGAGGAGGGGTAAGAAGAAGTAATTAAGAGGATAGATGTGCGATGAAGAAAGAAAAAAAGATTTTGCATTATTTATATTGACGAATATTCGATAGATTTTTCTTCATTTAATCGATCTTAAGAAGAAAACAAAAATCTATTTCGGTATTTTTATGCGTTCTTTCCTGTTTCAATTATTCTGTGTTTTTATTAAACGTCAGTCATATCGATTACTCGAGCGTTTGTCATCATGACGACGTATATCGCTCTATCGAACGATCCTACTTTCGAAAAAAATGCGTTGAGAGCGCCGAATCGTTGACATCGAACAATACATATAAGCACACATGGTATGCTAGTAATATTTGTCATTCATACGACGAAGGCATGCCAATGTAGAACACGAGAAAAAAAAAAGAAAATTATCTTCGAGATAAACATTCATCAAGCAGGTTATGTTTGGGATTTTCAATTGTTACTCATTACAAACCCGTAGGCACTAAAGCACCAATCAGCATTAAACAACCAAGTCACCCCATACGATTCTACTTGTGTTCTTCTTCTTTCTCTGCTTCTTTTCCCTCCTCTGCTCTCGTTTTGCTTCTTCTGCATCGACGAGTGAAAGCAACCGATAGAGAACATGCCATACTCGTCTCTTGTCTTCATGCCATTCTTCTATTCATTTCTCGTTCGCGTGTTTTCTGCTTTTTGAAAAAGCTTCAGTTGAGAACGATCGAGCAAGTATCGCCTCGACAAAATCATTGTCTGCATTAAACTCGATCGATAATAAGAGAAAGCGAACGAAGAAAATACTTTGTAAATGAACACCAAGTTAAAAGGAAAATGACATTGATGTTTTTCTACTAATCAATCTTTAGATGACGATCTTTCTAATGGATCGAAGAAATGTAATTAAATTCACTGTGTTCCCTTTTAGTCGGAACTCATTTATATAATTGTAGAAGATGAAAAAAAAAAGTTCTTCCAACGGAAAAAAAATATTCCTAAAGTTCAGTTTTTTAATGAGTATGTAAATATGAAATTTATCTTAAACTAAATTTTAATGATGTTGCTAAAAGAAAAATGAAATTAATAGTTGTTTCTAATGCGTAACCGAGTCAGTTTGTTTTACATAAGCGAAGAATATAATTGAGTCTACAAAAATAAATAAATTTCGGAGCTAATAGTTCTGCTCTTCTACTTTATCGATTGCACCGACGTGCTCGACTTTTCCAGGTAGAAAACTAGGTCAATAGTAACAAATTGATCGATCGGTCTTACCGAGTAATTGACAAATCAAATAATAGGAATAATTCGACGACGAGAAAACTGGAGTAAGTGTAAGTCAGACATTGTTATTTGACATATCTGCATGCTTTTATATTTTATTTATTTCCGTTTATGCGTCTGTCGTTGAATAGATAGTTTCTAAAAGAACAATGTGCGTATAACTCGTATAGTTAGTCAATAGCAAAGACGAGAGAATGAATGAATTCAATTCAAGTTAAACAAAAAGGAAAAATGCGAATAAGAAATGATGATAAATAATCCAGATTGTCAAGTAAAACATACTATTATTATGTAAATGTTCAGATAGAATGAAGGCGAAGAAGAAGAAAATGATGATCAAATGCCAAAATTCTCATTTGTCAAAGAATTCTCAAGATTCAATACGCATTGAAATAGATGTCGTTCCATCATAGGAACAATTCGTAGACTTTAACAGGTCAGATTGATACGCGCGGAGTGCAATTGATTGCATATGTGACAATGTTTTTCATGCTTTTTTGCGTCAAACTTGAAAAAAGAAGAAGAAAAGTGGTATTTGTCGTCATGCAAACATTTGTTCTGTAAAGGTTTTTCTTTTATGAGCATACTCATAGTGGAGATTTTTTTGTTGCTATAGACGATGTAAAGTGATTGAAATGAAGAAAAGACGTACTCGAGTAAATATAGAAATCTATTCAAGAGATAGATTGCATTTGAAGATCAAGAATATTGACAATCAATAGATTGTTCAAATACTATAGAATAATGCAAGAAGGAGAATTTATCTGCTGAGTGATCGTAGAAATTTGTTCATGACAAATCAATGTTGAGAGTTACTGTCAATTTTATGTACAAGACGCGTTCTGTTCAGACGAGGTGTAATCGTTTCTAATTATATGCGATCATGTGGTGTGTTTCTTTTATAAACATAAAGAAAAGTTTGGAAGAAATGATTGTCAGGTGATACAAAGAACAATGTTTGTTTAACGCGAACAGTTTATTTTGAGAAAGTGTCATTAACATTACACTGGTCTAATGGAACACCTCTAGGAGAGATGAATCTTGAACTATCTTATGCTAATGGTTTTCCAAAGAAATGTTCTTCATTGTAGTTGTATTTGATATTTGAGAGGCAGTAATTGAAGGTCGGTTGGATCGCTCATTAGTGATTCAAAATCATGAAGAACTTTCCTCTCGACTAGAAAACACATGACGGAGTAGTTCAATGGAAATTGAAATGTTGTATTAGAAAGAAGTATAGTTTGGTTTCTTTCAATTCAAAGATATGAATTTACTGTTGAAAAATGGCATCTTCGTTGGGAAAAGAGCGTAGAAAAGACAAGTGAAAGAGAAGAAATGATTTGTTTGATAAGATTATCAGTATATTCATTGAAATCGATCTAATAATTAACAAAACGGCAAATGCTTTCGCTTTCGAAATCAACTGCAATCGATTTCATTTCCTGATGTTAATCGATCCTCATTAGTTCAACGTGTGAATGAAAATCTCTTCAAATTCAATGAAATTTTATTCTCTGTGGAACATGAGTTTAAAAAAACAGATCTCTCTCTCTCTCTCTCTCTCTCTCTCTCTCTCTCTCTATTTCAATTCATTTCCAATCAAATACATCTTCATCAATGAAAAATTTCTTCTCACATAAAAGAACTTTTCTTTGTCGAATGAAATATTTCGCTTAGATTTAGTAAATGTCTACAGAAGGTGAAGGCCAGACGTAAGGTAGATTGATGAGTTATACATGCTTCTTACTGTACACATAGAAAACGAGAATGAAATTATATTTAGTTAGCCACAAAACTGACTCAATCATTTCTATTCTTTGTTTCTCTCACTTTTTGCAAAATCCACTTATGTCATGTATCACGAAGATGAATGCTGATGGAATCGCTGGTGATCTTATTAATAACGCCATTGAAAAGGTTTGCATCAGTAAAAATAAACGAAAATCTTCACATACAGTTTCACTTCTTAGAATGAACCAAAAAAAAATCGTCTTTTAGAAACGTAAATGAGCACTACGTTGCTAGTTAGCGGACTCTAACGTACGATCAGGACAAGAACGACTATAATTGGTTGATGATAAAAGCGTCTTTCGCTTATCACACTCTTTAGGTTAGGTACACTCATTCGTACATTGATCTCTGTCTGGTATCCTGTCCTCTCATATAGTTTGCCTGAAAATAGTAACTCACATTTTATACATTCGGTACATATCATAATGGTTGCTCCAACAGGACCTTCTAAAAAAACGGGAAGTACTAGCAAAGATGTCTTAATAGATTTTCTTGCCGGTGGAACAGGTTTGATATTTTATTCTCCATCTAATCAATATTTTCATTTCATTCGTACCTTTTAGCTGTATGTATTCTTTGTTTTATGACTTTCGTCGGAAAAGTGTCTGTGGTTTTAGGGAGCAATATCCAAAACAGCTGTCGCGCCACTTGAACGCGTTAAACTTCTTCTTCAAACTCAGGATGTCAATCAAAAAATCGCCGCTGGACGAAAATACAGAGGATTTGGTGATTGTCTTGTGCGTTGCATTCGAGAAGAAGGACCCATATCTCTTTGGCGTGGAAATTGGGCAAATGTCATCCGTTATTTTCCAACAGTATGCATAGTTCTATCTCCTCTTGAAATCCCAATTTTAATCGATGTTCTAGCAAGCATTAAACTTTGCGTTCAAAGAGCGCTATCAACGAATGTTTGCCAATTACAATCCAAAAACGGATCCATACAAATTTTTTGCGGGAAATCTCTTCGCCGGTGGCATGGCAGGTGCAACAGGTCTACTCTTTGTCTATCCACTTGATTTTGCTCGAACACGACTTGGTGTTGATATCGGAAAATCAGTTCAAGAACGGCAGTTTAAAGGAATGAACGATTGCATTGCTAAAATCTATAAAGCTGACGGTATCCAAGGTAATCCTCATTCTTTGTATTAGTCAATAGGAAATATATAAGATTTTTATCTTTAGGCCTCTATCGAGGTTTTTCAATCAGCGTAGCAGGTATATTTGTCTATCGAGCATTCTACTTTGGCGGTTACGATGCTGGTAAGAAGGCAGGAAAAGAATATACAGTGATCTATTTTTGTGTTTTTTTTTAGGAAAAAAGTTTTTGTTTGGTGACAATCCAAATCCGAATATATTGTATCGTTTTCTCTTCGCACAATTTATTACTTCATCCTCGGAATTCCTTGCCTACCCACTCGATACAATTCGACGGTAATTTTTCCTTATATAATGATCTTTTTCTCAACGTTCTTTTTATTCTTATAGTCGATTAATGATGCAAAGTGGTCGTAATGATGTTATCTACCGAGGAACATTGGACTGTGCTCGAAAGATCGCTGTTAATGAAGGCTTAACCGCATTCTTCAAAGGAAATCTCTCCAATATGTATCGTAGTATTGGTTCATCATTAGTTCTTGTTCTCTATGATGAATTCAAACGATGGATACTCTTAGCTGGTGAATCGTCTGCTTCCAAATAATTCCTACTCCGACAAACTATACATCTAATTTTTGTTCATTCTTATTTTTAGTGTATTTATTGATCTAATCATTTCACTAATAATTTTTCTCCTGTTCTTATCTATTCTTTCTTTTTCGTAATCGTAGCGAGTTGATAACTTTCAAAACTATTCCTTCTTTTCGAAATAAAACATACATCTATTTCTTGTGATATACACATCGCTGTTTCTTTTCGTAGATGACGACTTCTAATCAACAACTAGTTGATCTCGATTGGAAATTTGCAATCAACGTCGCCAGTAGTGAATCCGATGCCAACACGGGCGCGGCTCGATTGTATTTAAAACTAACAACAACGTCGAATAATGGCACCAATCGTACAGACATTCCTTTAAGTGTGACATTGGAACAGTTCTATGCTCTTGTTCACCAACTTGAAAAAGCGAAACTTGAAATGGATGTTTATGCTTAATAAAAATAATCTGCCGTGATTTTTTGCTTTTTATCTGTTTGGTTTTTCTTTTCTTCTTACAATTGCATCACATAAGAGAGACAGAAAAAAAGAAAGAACATAAGGAACAAAAAAGAAAAAACGTGAAATGATAAACAAAAGACAGAAAAAGATAATGATGATGACGGCGAACTTATGTCTCACTGTGCGGAGTTAGGCTTTCTCTTGTAAAAAATACGTATCAAACAATGATTAAGCACGACCACGCTGTACAAAGTCATTTAATTTCACACAGGACGGCGTCCCTTGCTTCTGTGCTTGACGATAGAGTTCATTATCATTCATCATTCGAGCACGCCACATCATGGACTCTTTATATTGTTGTTCACGATAGCATTGATGTCGGAGATCAGATGTGTATTCTTCAACAACAGATGACTCGAATTTATCCAACTCAGCATTGGTTTTCGGTGGGCGAAAGTCAGGTTTAACATAGTATTCCACATGTGATAAACGTGTGTGACGTTGATTAGTATATTTTCTAGAAAAAAAGTCATCGAATAACGAATTAAATTCACTGGAAAGTTAAGAATTACCCGGTACGATGCAATTGAAATTGAGGTTCACTCACTAGAAATGTGCCGATAATTGAAATAAGGAAAAGAAACAGGTAAGGCAGTAGTTGGGCAAGAGTATGGGTTGTCTAGAAAGAGAATAATACCGAATATTTCAAACAAACTTGAAATGAGCAAAGGAAATGAACAAACATTCTGCGTTTGATTATGTTGCGAATGAGTAGTAAAATGAAACGGATTGGTTTGTTGACGACGTCGATACGTACGATTTGGTGGTCCTAATAAGCAATTGTCTTTCGAAATGATGACACTGCAATGATTTCAATCATACCTGAATATCCAAAGAAAATATTAAAGATTTCTTCGGCTGAAAAGTCTTCATCATCTTCGTAATAATAATATTGATGAGAACCACGTCCACCACCGCCATTGCTACGATGATTATACTGTGGCTCCATAGCGTGACCATACTGATCGTATTGTTCTCGTTTCTTTGGATCGCTCAGAATGGAAAATGCTTTGCCAATCGCTGTTATATAACATCGAAATAGAAGATAAAGTTTAATGAAAAATAAAAATGATTTACCTTTGAATGCATCTGTTGCACCCGGAGCTTTACATTTGTCTGGATGAAACTAAAGTCAGATGATTTGAATGACAAGAAATATGTGCTAGTTTTGCAATTTACTTGAAGCGCTAATTTACGATATGCTTTCTTTAAATCAGCTTCAGATGCTGATTTATTCACACCGAGAATTTCATACAAATCTTTGCAAGTTTTGACTCTAAAATTGAAAACTTAAGAAATTATCTTGCATTTTCACAATAGATACTTACTTTCGTACAGCTTCCGCTTCTTCTGAAGTATAATCATTGGAAGAAGTTGAATGACTATTCGTTGTGGTGGATGTTCTTTGTCTGGTCGTTGGTGAACTTCCATTACTGGTTGACTGATCGTGATTTGTTGACGACGCCGATGGTGTTTCGGGTTCATGGGTTTTATGGTTATTTTTACTTGATGATGACGTCGAGTGAGAATTCGCATACATCAGTCGTTCTATGAGATCTAAACAAACCGAAATGGAAGAGACTCGAATTGAACGGTTAAAGAAAGTCTACCTTTAGCTTTTTGTGTGGGAAAGAGACTTTCCGATTTATTCAGATATCGAAGAGCGCGTTCATTATCATTGGCAAGTATGGCTTTTTCAGCGAGTTCAATATAATGCAATGCAGAATCTTTGTTTGCTTCCATTGATCAAGACACAAGAAAATACAGTCAAATAAAGAAAATGTAACGATTAAATTGAATAGATGACTGGTACTGATAACGACATTGAAAACAAGACACAAAAGGAACAAAAATAGGAGTTGTAGATGCTGTTAACCAAGGCCAAATATTAGATTTGTAGTTACAAGCACCTGTTAAATCGAGAAAAAAAGACAAGAAAAGTCGTGAGATGTTTTCGAAAATATTTGTTAGAGCATTGAATAATTCAGTCCAATAATATGTCTATAGAAATGGGCATGTAAAGAACAGATAGGCTAAGCCAGGTCATGTTTTCCATTTGCCAATAACAAAGGTCTCTGTTTCTTCTTCTGATTGGATACTGTTTCTTGCCTATTATGTAAGTTATGTACGTTTGACACCGAACGATGTCACTACCGAACGCACATCGTACAGAACACAGATAAAGTACGCCGTTGTCATCAAAGACTTCTGCGTTCACCATTTATCTTTGCATTTTTGTAAAAGTATTACCCGAAGAATAGATTCAACAGAGTTTCGTTTTCATTGGTGTTCGGCATTGATGGTGCACATGATTAAATTACAAAAAGAAGCCATAATATAACAAAATTGAATTTATAATAAATTGAAATACCGTACTCTAAAAAAAGCAAATTTCCATGGGCAGCAAATCTAGTAAACCTATCGCAACTGAATCGACTGCATCTCTTTCTTATCCGAAAGACTCGGCCGATGTCACTAGTACAAATACACAACAAGAGACAGCACCAGTGACGACTTCTTCAACTCCAACACGTGAAATAACATCGACATCTTCGCTTTCAAATGACACAGTAACGACTTCGAAAACATTAGATAGTTTGTATGCAACGAAAAAATTAGGTAGAAGATATGATTATTATTTTTAGAAGATACTTCTAAACTAACATTACACTCTGTTGCAACATCTCTCATAAGCAACGACGAGAATACATCAAAACAACCTGCAGTTAGATCAGCAGCGACACGCTGGTACAACTGGACGAAATTTGAACAACAAAAACGTGTGAAAGGAAAAATACTCTGGTATATGAATTCACCGGCGACAAAGAAAGATGCAGAAGCTACTCCTATTGAACAGATAACGCCGACAACGACGGCGCTGACACCAACAACAGCACCATTAGCAAAAGTTGATGAATCTGAGAAAAAAGAAGAATCTAAGAATGATAATGATATTACAGTCGTACCGACTTATCAACTTCGCACAACAACTGTACATAGTCCTCCTGGTATTGAACGTATTCCATCGCCTCGTCGGGAATTAACAAACACCGATGTATCAAATTTTAAATACTATCGTCCGGATGAACGATCTCGACAACCGGTATGTATTTTTCACATTCCCGATTCATTATCAACAGGAAAAAGATGTTATGGCCAGAAATATATCTTATCTGACAGGTTGGCACACATACAAAAGCAACTATGTATCGAATGAATACAATTTTAAGACAAGTGCCATCACCAGCTCAACTATCTTCACCCGAATCAACAAATCCTGGTGATGTTACAAACATAACTACAAGATCGGTTGAAGATCTATCGAAAATACGTACTTATGTCTCTCGTGGTCTTCAAACCGATCTCGAAGTACAACCAAGCAATTCGTCTGATTCACTAGTGCGCTACTACGAAAAACAACAATCTCAAGTAAGACACATCCGATCTGTGCATGGAATTATTTTCTTTTCAATTATTACCGTCTAGTTTGTTCCATTCTCGACACTAACTAATTATGCTTCTGATAATAATGGGTTTTATAACTTAGAATCACGAAATACGAATTATGAATCAACACTTCCACCCATTGGCGAGCCGTCTGAATCAAACGGTTATCCATCTCAGTCGAAATCTCCTCCATCTAATCCGTCAGCCCCGATATCCATCTTGAAAAAGACATCAACAGGATTATCTCGAGATGCATCTAATCCATTTTCCGAGCAAGCACATGAAAAAATGGTTGAAGAGTTGCGTAAACGTGATAAAAACCTTCAAGATGGAACATATCGCGTAAAAAAAGTTCATCTTCTGGAAAAAAATGATCCGCCGCCGGAACCGCGAACAGTCACATTTCGCCTTCCAACATCCAAAGCTAATCAAAGTATACAACGAAGTGAAAAATTATTTTCTAGTAATTGATAATTTTACTCGAAAAAAAAATAGACAAATACACACAAGAGGACAAAAGAAGAAAATGATGAGGATGATGAATTGTGTCTTGTTTTTTCGTCTGTTCCTTGTCTTTCCATTCGCTTATGAATAAAAGTCATAATTTGTTGAACAATCATTATGAATAGTTGATAATTTATTAATTCCATTGGTGGGATTGTATGTAAAATAGGACGATAAATTATCAATGCTTGAATGATTGTTTAATGTTTCGTGCGGAACAGTCTGTGGTGGTGTCGACGAAATGATTCCATTGGTATCAAACGAAGGAAATGTGTAATGATTTGATGTATTATAAAATGAATGTCTTGCCCAATAGGGATTATTCGAATTCAACTTCGATTCATTTGTTGAATAAACATTGGTTGATGATGAGGGTGTTGGATATGATGAAAATGAACTTTGAAATGTATTCGGATAGAACGTTGATGGATAAAAAGGAACATAGTTTTCATCCGATCTGATATGTTGTTTGATTTTGCTAGTTGATGATGAAGAGTAAAATGCGGAGTTCGTTGACGACGATGACGAAGAAGATTTGTTGGCTGATGGAATTGCAGATATCTTCGGAGAAATCAACGTTGAACCTTTAGTCATTTGTCCATTGCGCGATATGAATGGATAAAGTGTTTGAGGATCACATACAAAACGATAAACATAACGTTCGCCAGCGACTTTCTGCATGATACCTTTTTCGTAATAATAACGAAGCGATCGGGACAATTTGTCATAATTCATCGACGGACGATTTTTTTGTACGCCCCACAGACGTGCAACCTAAAGTACTTCCGTTACAGAAAACGTCTCTTTTATCGTTTAGACATCTCTCACTTCTTCAGGTTCTACTAATTTGAATTCCAAACCTTTTCCTGTCCAAATAATAATCGTCCCGTTCAGACCATCTTCGAGCAGAGCTAATAAGAATTGCCATAATTGAACCGACCCACGTCGACAATATAATTGAGAGTCCCGAGTAGATTTCCATCGTCGTTCTAAAACGAATCAAATAATTTCTTCGCAAATCGATGATATTTTATTCACCTCCACGAGTTCGTGATTGTTCAGTAGTAGATCCGCACGACATTGCAGTGATAACTCTGCAATAAAAGAGAGAGAAAGGTATTGAAATGATTTTTGATGTAGGAGAGTTTTTTCCTTAATAAAGGCACTCATCTTAATTATCGTGTCTTCTATACTCGTTATCAGAATTGAAATATAAGAATAAAAGTAATAGCAATCTTTTTCTTCTCTTTCTGATGTGCACAAGTCAATTAGACATTTCATTCTTCTTTCCACGTCGTAGACAAAAAAAAACGCAGAATGAGGTCTCGTTTTTTTTTCACGTCATTAGTCAAATATATTCTATGGAGACATCTGACTGGATGGTTTATAGGAATATCTATACCAGCGTTCAATATGAGACGTAGAATGAAACTTAGAAGTGATACTCTTATATGTTTGGATAATCATCGCTTTCTCTCTTTCTTCTTCTTCTTTCGCTCTCTATTGAAGAAACCAGAAACATAACTTCAATCGTTCTGGTACATCACTCACGTGCACAAATCAATCATTTGTTTAAAGAGCAGATCATCATTATCAGAAATCAATCGGTTCTTTCTCACTTTCATTCGACTAATTCATTGGACATGACATGTCATATACTCGAACAGATCTACTCAAAAGCTCATCCACTCGAATATACGCAAAGCTTGATAATTAATTAGACGATCGAAACTCGTCCGATATTACTCTCTAACCGGATGTCGACAAAAGTAACGTTCAAGAAGATCCATTTTTCGGACGTTATCATTTCATGTCATTGATAATGTTAACAATCATTTATAATGGAACTTACCCTTCAGCGTTTACTTGTCAGCAATGATTAGCCGACGATCGTTCGTCACTTTACCGTTCAAGCAGGTGCGCGTTGTGAGGATGATGATGAGATGTTCTTTTTCTTTTTGATTTCAGCTTTGAATACGAAGAAAAATGAGACACTTGAAAACGAGCAAATGCTAAATCGTACTTTTTTCTCAATGAACTAAATCTCTGATCATCTCGTAATTAGACGAGAGAAAGAGAAAGAAAAAGCAAACTTATCAAATTAAAACGAGCGGCGCACCAATCAGAAAAGACTGAGATCATATTTTCATAACCAATGATAATTAAGAGAAGAGGAGAAAAAGAAACATTATGTTCGAAGCAACGGGAATCTATCATTAATCATTCTGAAATGCAATGTCATTTAACTGCTTCTCAGTTGATAGGAATCTCTAAGTTTATTCAAATAAGAATGTTTCGTTCTGTTCAACAAATTCGAACACTGTTGGAGATCATCAATAGTTTTTCAAGTAGATCAATTTGATAAAGGATTTGCATTGTTATTTCCATTTGTCAAAGTTTGATGCTCATCGATGAAGGGTCATGTTCTTGTTCCGAACGACATTTTATAACTAATTTTAGAAATGTTAATTTGAAACCTGAACAAAAATATCCAATGAATCGTCTCGATTAGGAAAGAGAAGACGCTCAGCATATTATACAGATTGTTTCAAAGTCAAATTTTTAACCGTCTGTCAATCGGATGAATATGTTCTCCTCGCCGCTCATCAATCACAAAGTGTCTTTCTTGATCTTGAAAAAATAAATCAACAAAACATATTCTTTATGAAAAAAAGTAAAGAAAGAACGGAATAATAACAATATTAACGCCAATGACGCACCCACTGATCATAACTGAAAAAAGAGGAAAGAAACCGAATCAGATGGAAACTAACTACGAATAGGAAGAAGAAGAATAAGAATAAGAAGGTATGCTAATCAAAATCGAAATTAGTCTAATTAAAATTCTACATGAGTAGAATGTGAAGTTGTTCCGGCTACTGTTTCATCACATGCTGATGGAGTTTCAAATATCATTGCATATTCACAACGACTCGGTTCTCGAACATCGACTGCTTTATGTTCAATTCCACATCGAAAAGTGACTGTTAATGAACGGGGTGGACCATTCCAGCATGTTGCGCCGTTGGCATATTTCATGCGTAGATATTTGTTTTCTGTTGGACCAGACCACGAATCCCAATAGCCAATGGTTACTTCACTGCCACCACCTTTTGGAATTTGTTTCGCATCTTTGAACATACATACTCGATAGGTGTATTCGCGTTCTTCGTAATCATAGCATTGATCGATAAATGCAGAATACTCTCCTTGCGGTCCTGTATCAACACCGGATTGTTTTTTCAAATCTCTAAATTATAGAGAAAGATTGAGCAGAAGTATGGAATCGGATTTTATCGAGTGACGACTAACTCAATCTGTTGTTTGATATTTAGAATTTTTCCTTCAATTGCATTGAATTCGTTCCGAGCATGATCTGCTATTTGTATCAATCGTTTCGTTTCATCATCGTATTCAGGCGGTGTATCATCGTGAATGTGTTTTTCATGTTCAAGAGACTAAATTTGAAACAGAAAATTTAAAAATATGTTTTGCTTCTACTATCTCCTTACAGTCGGTATTGATGACGAATGTTGAGAATTTTCGTGATCTTCTTCGTGACGATGAGATGGTTTGTTCTGTTCGTCGTCAGAAGTTTCTAATGGTGGCGATGGAGTTGCAAAAGAACCTTGAGATGGTTCAGGAAGTGGTGTTGGCTCTGGTGTTGGTCGCGGTGGCTCGGGCAACTTTTTATACGAATTTGATATCTGATCAAATACTGTTGTATTGAAGTCATTCAAATTCACCGAATCTGCACCGAGAATTGTCTGAATAAAATTCAGGAGACAGAGAATAAGCAATTATCTTCTCAACATTTAAAATTCTCTTACTCGAACTTCTTCGTTGGTAAATTCATTTTCTGAATCGAGGTCAAGTTCTGTATGTTTTTGTAATTCATCAATCGATACTCTATGATCAAATAAAATGACAAGATTTTGAATGGGATAGGAATGCGACGTACAGTGAATCTCCATTCGTATCTAAATCAGCAAACATTTCACGTATTTCACGGTTACGAACGATAGCTTCGTGTTTCGCACGTTGTTCTATGAAAACAATCGATATTTTAATGATCGCAATCAAGTAGTTCGAACAAACCTTCCCATAGTTTCTGATATTTATCCTTCGCTTCCTTTTCAGGTGCTTCCGCTTGACGTTTTAATTCTATATTAACAAAAATGGATGATAAGGCGAGCAAATGTTGAACATCTTGCCTTCTTTCTCTTTCAATTCACTTTCAGCAACTTGTATTTCGTTTTCTAGTTCTTTCAAACGTTTCTAAATAAAACTCGAAATGTTTCAGTGAAAAATTCGTTCGAATTCAAACTACTTGTCGTTCAGATTTAATCGCAATGGAGTGCGCGATGATTTCTTTCTTTTTGGCTACACCCGCTTCATGTAGTGCACGTTTTGCTTCGCGTTCAGCTTGATTTCTCTGCGCCAATTCACTGAAAAAGACAACGAGAGACAAATTAGTTCTCTTCAGTCATTTATTTGAAAAAATGAACAAAACTTATAAATGTGATTTCGACAATCAATTATGTGTTCAATCAGCGAAAAGTCTCGTTTTATAAAAGATCAATATACAAAGAAGGGTCCACGAACTTATACACTATATTTTAACACAGAACGTTTGTGTTGTTCGCGGAATAATTTCATCAAATGATCCCGATATGAATAAATAATATAGAAGATGCAGAGAATCACAATCAAAGATTTCCAAGGGAAGACATTCATCGAAGGGTTTTCATCGACCACTGTTCGATTTAGATATTTATCGATTAATAATCCATGTTCATGAACTGGTCGATTAGTTTCGGTTTTTGTCGTTAAGGTTCGGTAAGATTTGCTTTTTTTCGTTTGTTTGAAAACTTTCTTATTCGAAAAGTTTGTTTGATAGAAAGCTAAGTTGTTTGGCGAGTTTAGAATCAACGAATGGGAAGAACTGTGAGATGAACTAAAACATGACACTCGAAAGCAAACTAACGAACATAAGATTCACCGAAAAACAAAACTCACAGACCATTGTAAGAAAGCGGTGCATTATCAATGAAAAATACTTACAAACATGTGTTATTGCAAACAACATTCGTTTCATATTCATCAGAACCATCACAACAATCTGAGAAGCAAGTCAGACGGTAAAATGAATAAATACAAGTGGTTTTACATACCGCAGATGCCATCACCAACAAAATGAGATGGAATCAATGTTCCGACATAGCCTTTATTTTCACAAAAGAATCGTCCATTTGGACAAGCAGATGTACCAGGTTCGTCACTACCATCTAGAAAACGAGATCGTCATGAAATAGATCGATAGGTTCTTTGACTTACCTCGGCAATCACAGTAATCATCATTGACGAATTCATATGGAATGGTCATAGATCTGTCGAGACAGGTGAACGGTTTGGATGGAACGTACATTGAAAGTACTAAAAGTTTCAAAGCAAAGAAGAGTGATGAGTTGTGTTTGGATTGTGAATGAAATTTAGTTTTTACATGAAGTCTGAACGCCACGTAAGGCAGTTTGCTCGATATTTCCACCAGCAATTAATGTCAAGAGGCATGAGAAGACAAGGAGATTCACGTAGGACGGAAACATCATTCATCAACAAAAGAAAAAACGAAATAAGAATCATTTGTATTCTGTGTTCTTCTTCTGGCTTGTTATGTTGTTATTGGTGTGAAAGAGCAACGAATCAGATAGTTTGCTCTTTCCCTTTTGAAAGTACTCGCAAAAATTAAATGAATTCAATTAGTTTATTGATTTCCAAATAATTGAGAGTGTAGTCGATTCCCAAATGTTTTTCTTTTCTTAAGGATAACTCAAATGTGTACTAGTTTCTAAACGTCTCTTTACATGAGCAAAATTTATAGCAGTTCTGTTGTCTATAAAACATGTTCTTCATCATTAACGATAAATGACTTTTTCCAACTACATATGTGAGCATATGCGTAAAATACAAGTTATCTTATGAGAGCATCTGATTGCAACAGGTTTGATGAAAATTACACATGTTAAATTTATGAAAATTTATGCTTCGTATCGGCCGAACATCATTGTAACTCGGTGAAACTGTTTTAATGAAAAAAGCATCAATGATGTATAAGATCGCTTTAAACTTTTACAGGTTGAAGCGAAGGTCTTTGGAGTAAAACATAAATTTCTCGAATAGTAGATGGCGTACTCTATAGTTTCTTCTTCGGCGCCACATATGCTAGACAGAAATTATATTTGACAAATAAGAAGGATTTTACTCGATTATGAAATCTCATTGGCTAATCCAACTCTTACGAAATGTAAAAACCAGACGAAAAGAGATATATAAAGACACCGGAACATCTCAGTGCGTTTATCCAGTTTTAGAAAACTAAGATGTCGATAATTATTAATACCAATGAAGTCTCATCAAATTGGAAACTTTTAGCCGTAAGAATCCTTTCTCTTTGTCATTTTCTGTCTCACGTTTTCACATATCTAGACGAAAATGCCTGTTAGTGAACTGAAGAAGAAGCAGATCGAAACATCACGAACATCAGTTCGGCCGCCAAAGTATATTTTTCTCTTTAATCTTGCTCGTTCATCAAAATCGTTCTCATTAGGTTGACCAAAGCTGTATGTATTGATTGTGAAATGGTTGGTGTCGGTGAAAATGGTATGGACAATATGCTTGCTCGAGTATCGATCGTCAATCAACTCGGACAATGTCTCTACGATAAATATGTTAAACCAACAGAGCCAGTTGTTGACTATCGAACAGCAGTTAGTGGAATAACAGAACAGAATTTGGAGAACGGTTTGATTGACATTGATGGAAGCGAAAATATTCTTTTTATGATCAATGGTTTCTAGGAATTCCTCTTAATGTCGTTCAGAAAGAAGTGTCAGATATAATTCAACATCGAACACTTGTTGGTCATGCGATACATAATGATTTACAAGTAATTTTTATTAATTGATTCAATCAAGAGAAAAGACTGAGTGTTTTCTTTTCTGAAAAGGTTCTATTTTTGAGTCATCCAAAGCGGCGTATTCGCGATACACAACGTTACAAAGGTTTTCGTTCATTGTTTAACGGTGGTTTGCCTTCATTAAAAGCATTAGCTGATAAAGTTCTTGGATTGAAAATTCAAACTGGTGCTCATGATTCAGTAATTCCTTTACTATTCCAATTTTTTTCAAGTTATTCTTCATGAATGTTTAGGTCGAAGATGCTCGTGTCACAATGCAATTATATGTTCAACATCGTCGTGAATGGGAAAAATCTCTACGTGAAAAGAACTCTCTAACTAGTGAAGAGAAACATAAAAGAATACGTGCTCGTCAAAAACAAAAAAGATTGCAAAGTTCTTCTTCTTCTTCTTTTACTAAAAAAACGATATAATTTAATTTGAAACATATTGTTTATTTCAAATATGTTTTTGTTATTTGTAGATAGTTTTTGAACTCATCTGTACAAACAAAAGATTCATCAATATTTAGGTATGTTAGACATTTTTAATCGATGATCTTCGTCTATTGATTGACTGTATGACGATAGGTGATTTTCATCAGATGACGAAGTAGAAGAAATAATAATTCGCCAATTTCCACGAAACTTATCAAACTAACACCGATCCAAAGTCCTATGGATAAACAAAAGGAAAGTTTTTCGAAGAGTTTTCGTGAAGGACGAACCTGTTTGTCCTCCTATACTTGAAATAAGATCGACCCAAGTATACATTGGCGATTCACTAAGGATTTCTGTAGCATAAGGACTCGCTGATATTCCGACTGCGACAATATCGTCTAAGAAAGGTTCGTTTCGATTCTGCGAACAGCTAGGTTGATTTTTATACGATGTTGAGTTGATTTTTTTCAAAAATGTCTTCACACGTTTCGAAGTTTTGTCCATCGAACGAAAATTCGGATAGTCAGCATACGACGACTGCGTTGTATATTGAATAAGTTCACATTCGGGCAGACATTCTGGGCAATATCGGATTGAATCTGGGTTTTCGATAGATAGAATGAGAAAAATGAGCAATTGTGAAAATACGTACTGAAACGGTGGCGATTACTGAAACATTTGTTAGTTATTGAACATGAATCATTTGTTTTTATGTGTGTTGTATGATTGGGATTGAAAAATTGAGAAAAGACCATCAATAATCGATTTGTACAATTACATTCGATAGTAATCAGACGAAATTCACATAATTTAAAGCACAAATCTTGAGAGTATCGAATAGAATTCAAACCAAATATTTCCTTCATTTCATCCGTTAAATCGCTTCGACATTTGTGAGAAAATAGGATTATCCGTTGAGAAAAGATTAATTTTGTATACGTTTTTGGAGCGAGAAACAGACTATTTTGAGATAGAATTGGTATTTGATTTTTCCGATGAATAAATACTCGAAACGCCGCCCGATCATCCAATGACGGTTCATAATCATCCTGATGGAGAAACAATTCAAGAAATAGTTTATAACCATCATCTGTGCTTTCATCATCGACCATGGTCCAAAAAGGTGTCGTTTCATTTTGCGGAATATTCGAAACATGAAGGTCATTATCGAATGTAAAACAATTTCCATAGTTGGGATGAAAGAACGGAGTGAAATTGCCATGACAGACGTATCCGTTGAATACACACTGAATAAGGAGGTCATCCAGAGCATAACCTGATTCCATTACCATAGGGCGTTTTCGGTGAAGATTTTTCGTCAGCTGTCGGCGCATCAAGGCGTCGACGAAATGTGATAGATCTCGATTCATGTGACCTGGCCGTGGAGGACGAGGACGATCAGAAGGTCTATTCAGGACTTTCAGGTTTCGAACGGGATTTAGATTACCTAAAGAAAGAAAAGTTTAGCTTTTGGAATCGAATGTAATTCGTACAGAAAGTTATTGCAGGGAAATATTGCGAATCCTGGTATTGCCGTATGCTGAGATTGATTTTCATGGGCTGAGCAATATAATTACGAATGACTGTAAGGATAAAAAAGCACATCAATGATGTAAAGATGAGGCAGATAAACGACCAGAATATTCGTCCAAATATGGAATCAGCAAGACTAATTCGTCGAATACCATGCGAAGGAGAATTCGAAAACCAAGTTTTCAATACATCAATAATACCTTTTTCTCTGCTGATCTCACTCGTCGATGATCCCGACATACTTTTATCAAAATGAACCAAGAAAAACTTAATAAAAACCGACAAGACTTCTTTCCTCATCAATCATTATGACGAATCCTGTTTTTTTATTATTATTGTAGATTATTTGTGATCTTTTTTAGAAGAAAAGAAAAACACAGCAAGAACATGCCTGGAGCTCATTTCGAAGCACCTTTAGTTGTTGATAATCGAGATGGATGGGGACCAACAGATGACACATTTCAATATAAAGATATGCCATATCAACCTTACTCGAAAAGCGATCAATTAGGCAAAGTATGACAAATGATAAACATTGATCTCTCGGACTTTCACATATGACTTAGGTCGCTGATTGGACAGGCACAGTCTATGGTGACAAACGAAACAACAGTAAGAAATGAAATCTTAATCGAAGAAAAGATTTCAATTTTTGCGATCTATAGATCGATATCGATCACAATATGGTGTTGGGGTGGGCATGTATCAGTATATTCACGAAGATGATGAAAATACATTTCAATTGGTCGATTCCACACGTTTACCCAAACCAGCTTATCAAAAACGATCACGTTTTCAACAGAATGTAAGTTTAGATGTTAGTATGGATCGAACATGACAATTCGTTCATGTAGCGTTTCCGTCAACAACAACCGCAAGGTGGTCGTTTTCCGACAATGCAAAAGAATCTTACTGGTCCACAGAAAAAGTCGAAGACAATGAAAAACTTAGAAATGTAAATCGATAACGTTTCTATTTGACGAAAAAATATTTATTTTCTTTGTCGTCAGGGATCAAATGCGTCAAATGCGTAAGTGGCAGAAACAATATGGAAATCGTGCTGATCCACGTTTACATGTAAGAATCGATTAGACACAAATATTTGTGGAAATTTGTCGTCCTCATTCTCTTTTCAAAGCAACAAGCGAAACAACGTGAACCATCCGTACGTATCCGCGAAGATTGGCAAGTTATTGAAGAAATCCCATTTGCTACTTTAACAAAATTCAGCTTACCAAGTATGAATGAACCTGAAGAACTGTAAGTCTCGAATGAAGTTTTTTATATTAAAACACAGACGTCGATGTTTCAGGAGTGTTTGGGGTTCACTTGAATATTATGATAAACGATACGATCGAATCACCACGAAAACGGAGAAAAAGTTAGCGATGGTCAATCGTTTAATTCATCGAATTACAACGACAAAAGATCCAGTCATTCGCCAAGTATGAAAGCTCAGAGAAGAAGTGTTCAATTGATTTCGTATGCTGTTTAGATTTGCAAAACACATGGTAATGTTTTCGCAACGGATGTCATCATTTCAACACTGATGTGTTGTACCAGATCTGTTTATCCATGGGATATTGTCGTTGATGTAAGTTTTGCTTAGATTCGGTGATCGATATCAATTCTTGTTCGTGTAGAAATTAGGCTCACGTTTATTTTTCGACAAACGAGAAGATTCAACGCTTGGTAAGTCAACAAAAGGAGCGTATACAATGTTGATTTTTTGGATTGTTAGATCTGTTAACTGTGAATGAAACTGCCAATGAACCACCACCAGAAGATGGCACGATGGATTCAGCGAAGAATCTGGAATTAGAAGCCGTTTTTATCAATCATACGTTCGCTCAACAAGTTCTTAGATTGGTTCGATTAGGAAAATGCTCGTACTAAAAAACTACTATGGATGTTTGATTTAGAATGAGGAACGATACAAATTTCCAAATCCCAATCCATTTATTCAACCCGATGAAGAAAGCGAAGAAGCTTCAGTTGCCTATCGTTATCGTTCATGGGATTTAGGTAATAATCTCAAGATAGTCATCCGTTGTGAACAAGATTGCGTTCAAATCGGACCGAATGGAGAGGAACAATTTGTTAACATCAAAGCATTGAATGAATGGAATCCAAAGGTACTTGAAGAATCAAAAAATTTCCTTTGAATTGCGACGTGTTTTTTCGAATGATTAGGTTGGTAGTGGCCTCGATTGGAGAACGAAATTGGATATGCAACGAGGTGCAGTTTTGGCTGCTGAATTGCGTAACAATGGATTTAAATTAGCTAAATGGACAACTTGCGCGATTTTGGCCGGGTCAGATCAAATGAAATTCGGTTATGTATCACGACAAAACTTCAAAGACGCATCTCGTCACACAATTCTCGGTATGCAAAATTTTAAACCACAGGAATTCGCTACACAAATGGCTCTCAATATGGACAACGGATGGGGTATTGTTCGAGGTAAAATCTTTCATTTCATCCAATACACTTCTCGCAACTTTATTTTTCTACTTTGCAGTTTTAGTTGATTTCTTTATGAATAAACCCGATGGACGATACTTGATTACAAAAGATCCAATGAAGGTAAATCTATTCGTACATTTCGAGACCCATCATGTTCATATTGTCTATTGTTCTCTTTAGCCAACTCTTCGAGTAAGACAAAACTTATTCTCGCTACATGAAAATTTGTAATAAATACGAATCGATTGCTTTCTTTTAGATCTACAGTGTACCTGACAGTTCCTTCGACAGCGAGGATGAATCAAGCGATGATGAGAATGATCCTCAACAAAATGAAAACTAATCAAAACTAGTTCTTATTGTTAACGTTATTATATTTTTGTCATTTTGCTAATTGAAAATCTTGTGCAAATATAAAAATGGCAATAAAGATACTGAAGATATCTCATTTCATCTTTTCTCGATTATTTTAGATCTGTAATGAGACAGTTCATGTGAAAATAGAGCATTCGTCATTGTTGTTTTGTTCCAAGTGAAAGTCGGATATTTCATCTCATGGCATTTGATATTGATGATGAATTGCCAGATCGAGAAAGTGGTATGTCATTCAATGAAAATTTTATCGAGTGAAATGAACTTTGTGTTTAGCTCGACAATTCTATCAAAAGTACGAACCGAAAGAAGTGATTGGGAAAGGTTTATCTTCAGTTGTGCGAAAATGTGTGGAGAAAGCAACAGGAAAAGAATACGCATGTAAAATCATCGAATTCAATGATGATAATTATCATGAACGTGCTGCTACACTACAAGAAATTCAGATTTTGAAACTAGTCGGTGGTCATCCGAATATTATTGATATAGTCGCATCATTTGAAACACCAAATTATGTTTTTATTGTTATGGAACTGTGTCCTAATGGAGAATTATTCGATTATTTAACGAAAGTTGTTCGTCTATCAGGTTGAGTGACTGATTTCTTACAGGCAAAACTTAT